ACTTGCAGATAACCTGATGTCTATCCACCACTATTTGAGTCCACAATGTGCAGAACATGTGCCAAGAGCTAGTATTAATAATAGAACCAGGGAACAAGTCCTATGTTGTCTAAGAAAATATTTTTCTTTTCATTTTAAAGAAGCAATTGCAACCATGCATCATAAAGTCATGCTGGCATAATATGTTCCCCAATTTCCCATGGTGCATGCACCAGCAACATGTCTAGATATGCACAAGCACACATGCATACACATGTCTGTAGATTGAAGTACAGTCTAGCAACGCTATGCACATATGCATGAACACAAAGGCAATTAACATAAAGCAAAGAGTGCAAGTAAGAAGCTAGCAAGGCATGTACCAGAAACAAATTGTAGTGTACAAGCATGATAGACAACCATGCCTACAGTTCTTCTTCTCCCTTCCAAAACACATGCAATACAATATGCACAACAATAGTCACTTATAGAAGGAAAATCTCAAATGATGGATCACATCTGGAGCTAGTATGATATTTTTGAAGATTATGGTACACCGTACATCCATCTTTCAACTTTCAAGATTGTAAAATTTTAACATAAGTATTCTCTTGGCTTAAAAGAACCAATTATACACTAAAAAATCCAAAAACTATCATAGTTTTCAAAGGTTCATGGCTGGAGCTACTGTCGGACAAATCAGTTTATGCAATGATATCATATAATTTCTAGACGATATGATGCATCAAACTCAAAAGCTCCTATGAGCTAGCCAGGAAAATAAAACAATCCACTTCAACAATAAACATCCATTGATGAAATAATTTTTTAAATGACATTGAATAAGAAACCTTTACATGCTACTGGATTTAAATTGAACCAGAACAAAAACATAAGTGGATGAAAATATGACCATGCCATTATGCAACAAAAAAAAACATTTTGACTAGGCCATGCAGTATAAAATACTAATGTGCCAGATTACCCCTAGAGAACAAATTGTTACAAGGCATCACTCTTGTAGGAGAAAAAAATTAAACTATTCCTTAGAGTACTCACATGCAGGGGGGTGGACCTTCACCTTCCGGTTCCAACTTCCTCCATTCATAGGGTTTGGCAGCAGTATCGAGGGCCCAAACATCAGCCAAAGGCCGCTTCCCTGACATAATAACTTGTTTTCATAAACTCATATACATATCGTCCAAATGCTAAAACATCGCAAGTACTAACTTTGGAGGTACAAAAACAGCACACAATTATATGCAATAAAAAATGATCCTACCATCATTTCCACCAATTGCCAATAGGAATCTTTGTCCAACTAAAGCCATCACATGTCCATAACGTGGTCCTGGACCGGGTCCTTGGACAACAACCCTATGTTCAAGAATGTTACTTCATTAGTGATAACAACATAGTTGTGTAAAAGTTAAAGCTGGTTGCCTTGATATGATTATAACCTATGCCACCGTGGCCGCTGTTGTGTTAGGTCCAGAACATGAAGATCCTCTGCGGACAAGCCAGCAGGACCAATTCCACCCTGAACAAATGACAAAAAATAAAATCTTATATAAGAATGTCCTCAAAGTTAATGGTTTTTTACTCGAGTAAATCAGTACTAACAAGGAGAGTTTTAGCATCTTATATAAAGCACTATTCAATATAAAAATTTAGAAGTACCTGAATTACCACCATGGTGCCCACAGCAGTTGCAACATGTGCAGCTCTGGGTGATGGTGGTTCTCCAAGAGGTGTTAGCCTAAGAACATATCAGCATTCAGCACTATGTCATACAAAATATATATATATATATATATATATATATATATATATCACAAAACTGCTTGAAGAGAGACTATATGGAATGACTGCAAGATCTTGTTCACACAGAAATCATTAATTTGCCACATAAATCAACGTCAAATACAGGTATGATATTTCGTGTGTAAGAAATAAATCAATTCTCAATTAATAGATGTACCTTGTCCATTTGTTAGATAGCACATCATAACAATGAACATCAGCTGTTGCACCTGCAAGACCTGCAATCAATGGGGAAGCAGATGAAACAATGAGATCTTTGAGTTTTCACAAATTTAAGCCAACACCCAAGAAACCAACTCAGATAGAAGCTGATGCATCTCACGGTCAAATAGCATAATTCAACATTATTTCTTGCTTCTGCCTACTACAATTTTCCTGAGTAGCTAGAATAGATCCCTATGAGTTCAATTAAGATTGCTCAACTCCGTATCTATTTGTTACAGTTTTAATCCCAGGCAAAGGTTCTTCTATAACAAGAGATAGGGTACCAATACAAGTTAGCAATTGGGATGCACATTGATGCAGGAAATTAAGGAATGAAACTTTAGATATCAACATAGGAAACATACGGATGCCAGCACTTCCTGCGGGCGATGCCGGAGCTGCAGAATTGCCCTCGAGCGCTGTCGCACCACCGAACAGTATAAGTCGCGGCCCAATGTACCCAGGAGTTCCCTCCTCCCCAACGGCCGCCACGGCTGTAAGCGTGTGGCCGCACCTGCATCCGGGCCCATCCTCCTTCTTCTCTATGATCGCGTTCACCACCGAGAACGTCGGCGCGGGCCTCGGCCCGGCCGCAACCGCCTGCGCCTCCACCGGCGGCGACGCGGTCCCGGACGCGGGCAGCGGTGAGGAAGTCCCGTTCGCGGGGTCATGGTGCTTTGCCGCGGCCGGATCGTGGTCGGGTTCCGCGGGCATCGAGGAGTCAACCTCCATAGCGCGGCAGCTCGTCGCGGTGGCGGATATCAGGGACTGGAATCAGAAGGGGGAAGCGACCCTATGATTCGGTCCACCGGCCAACGCTCCTCCACCGCGCCCCTGGCGCCGTCGGCATCACCTCCGCCCGTAAAGGACAAGGGTTACGGAAGCCACCTGACCACCACCCGGCGAAGGAGGAGCCCAATCGCTCGGACTCGGTCGCCGTATCGGATCGCGACGAGTAATAGTGATGAGGGAGGGGGAGAAGGGGGAGGGAAAGAGATCTCGCCTTTTGTCGTTGGATTCTTCTCCTTTCGTCGTAATCCAACTCTTACTGGAAATAGGAATTCGAAGCGGGAATGGATCGGGAATTAGAGGGGAGGAGCGAAATAAGTGAGGGAATTCCCATTCGTGTTTGGTCTCTGCCGTGTTCTTGTCCCTCTTTTTCTTCTTATTTTCTTATTTTTTTATTTCTTTTTAATAGCCTCTTCACAATAAGAAGGCTTCCAGCTCTGCCTGCTTGTAGTTTACCCGCATCGGGTACCCGAAAGCGTTCTGTGCGGGTCCCACAGCGGGTCCCGCGTCGCTTTTATTTTCCTTCTTTACCTCTATTGCCCCGAAGGAGGCCCCGAGGCGGTCGCTCACCGTCTGACCTTTGGACCCACGAGTAGGGGCCCACAGTGTTCCCCCGCTTTGAGTTTTCCTACTTCGGTTTCTCTACCCGTTTTCCTACCCGGCCTTGCGATTGGAGGCAACGAAGGGTAGACCAGTGGGGATGCACAAGGGCCACGTCTACGGTATTGGGCTCCACCCGATGGTTACTCCAATCATATCGCAGGTAGGAGTCGGGTGCCGAACCGAAGGAGCAAGACAGTTTGGACGGACGAAGAATTTTGGAGAGGATTTTCCTATTTTCTATTTTTCCATTGGATCGCTTCATATGATATATGACATTTAAGACGATGGACGCTAAACGCTGATAAATTATTCCATCCCAATTGAAAATAAAAATAAAAATATGAAAATATATAATAAAGATCATAAATTCATTATTCTTTAACTAAAGTTTAATCATTTTAAATCATATGATTCAGACTTATCTAAAGGTTGAATAAGAGCAATAAGGTTATGTCACATTTTTTGACTCCTTATTTGTGAAAAAGTCATTCAAGCATTTATTAGGATATCTTTAAAATATATTTTTCTAATCTGGATATTATATTGCAAAAGCTAAAATATGAAATACATTAGTATTCCTTCATTTGGAATGAGTTACGATACTCTTTAAAATCATAAAATTATTACAGAAAATATAACCCTTATTTTTTTTTCTCTCGTTCTCTAAAAATAAATATGAATTATATCTTCTATACAGTATAATTTTATTTATTTATTTATTTATAAAATTTATTTTATATTTATTCATATAATTATTTTTTTATTTATTATATATCTAGATCATACAATTTTTTAAAAAATAAACATTTATTTATTTATTTATTTATTTTTGTTTAAATAAAAAAATATTTTCTTTATTTTTTAAATAAATATTAAAACATATTAGAAAGATAAATTTATCACTGATTAAACATTCTCTCAAATCTCTTTCTCTAAATATATGTTAAAAATATAAATATATTTTTAAACACTGATTTTAAATTCCAAAAACACACGTGGCTTGCACGTGATAGCACAAAAAATATTTTTTAGAGATACACAAAACAAAAACTTGTTACTAAGATACGAGTTAGTGGGTAAATTTCCTCCCAACAAAGCATGCTATGCAATCATTTCAATTAAATTCTTAAAACTGGTTCATAGAAAAAGATTTGAGCAGAAAAATACCACAGAACAAATCTGATAAATCAAAGCCCCCAAGCAAAACGTACACTGATAGAAAAAGTAACATTTTGAAGTTAAAAGAGTTTTTCTTTTTTTGTTCTTTCTCAGTGCATCCTATGAATCTATCTTTTGCATCTAGACTTCTTTGACTTCAACATCCAATCTCATCGAATGCCTACAGGCCAAAACATCAAGCGAAACAACTGCGAATGCAGACATTCAAAAGAGAGAATCCCATACGACTAATGTGCACAGCAGTCATGTGAATGGTTCTCATGGAAATAGTATCAATGGCAAGTGGGATCCATTATTCAGCTCATTTAAAACGCAACCATCATATTCTTCTGCACAATGTAAATGATATAGAAGCATTAATAGCCTCAACAGCAAACAAAAATTGGCAATTACATAGTTTGAAATAAAACGACAATACAAATGAGCTGATCACAATATTGAGGTTAAGCACTATCGGACATTCAGCATCGAAAAAGTAGTGGTGTAGAGAATCGTGCCATCATAATTTACCTAAACCAGATCATGCAAATATGTATCGATGAAAAGTTCAGTCCAGTAGAGGAAAGCTTATGATCAGCTACTGGATGATGAATCAAAAACTCCAATTGGATTCTTGTATCTGCAATTCAGCTCCTTTGATGCTTTGATCCTAGGATTTCATGGTGTTTTGCTTCAGATTTAAGCGTGCCTTTAGGGTGCTTCTGTTTTCTGACTGGTTTATTGCAACTTTATTTGCAGCATGTTTCCCCACTCCTAGACCTGCTTGATATCAGTGTCATGTTAGTAAGAAGCTCCAAAACTAGTTCAGCGGCCAGTCAGCTCAAGCAGGCAAAGTAATGACGTATTAAAATGATCAATATAGCCAAGTGCTGAAGGAAGAAAAAAGACTTTCTAGATTCAAATACTATCTTCACAAGTTTAAAATTAAGGTGTCCTTTGTATATTACTCCCTGATTTATATGGAATTAGCAAATTAATCCCTCAAGTCTTCGCATTTGGATGGTTCTCCTTGGAATCCGAAACTGTGATGCATACATGTCCCACGAACTATACAAAAGGAAATGTTCTAAAAGGATTCTGCTTCAGAGTAAAATAATCAGTATGTATAATATTTAGTATTTGGTGATCTCTATCCTTTCTTCCTCCTTGGAACCATATTGAAATTCTCGTATATATTGCTAAACTTCCTATTTTCATATCCCAAATCTAAACAAAACAAACCTTTAGTCCTCTTAAGGTTTAAATCTTCTCATTCTTCTAGGTCGCTAATCATTTTCAATTTTATTGCCATTCCATTTGAATTATAAGGCCTTGGCATGTGATTTAATGGGTTTAAGGAGCCATATTTTTTGTAGATTTTCAAAATTAGAAATGTAGATACGTTGAATTGAAAAAGGTTAGAGACTAAGATCAAATACATCCAAAATAAATACAGAAATATGAGAAAGTATTAAATCACTTTACCTCTATATCTGTCTTAACCATAGACACAAGACCAGTATATATTGTCATCAACAGCTAATCTTTTGATGCCAGCAATGTCAGATGTTTCTTAGGAACAAAAAGAGAGAAAAGACACTTAGCAGCCTGATTATCAAATCGCTGCTGAATATTTTTAAAAATGTGGTAGAAGTATGTCATATGCACAAATGAATCATAATATGGGCACATGAGATACCCAATAGACAAATCCCGACAAATGCATTTATTTCAAGACAAAATGTTGCTATAGTTGCATATGCAGGAAAACTCAAGGATGATAAAATTGCTGGGAACAAGTGGGCATACCGCTGGTTGGTAAGGACAACTTCTTAACCTGCGATTCCACTGGAGATGGCCTATCCTTCAGGTTGCTCAAAGACCGAGCTCCAACAGCAGAAGTTTGGGATGTAGTTTCTATGCAAACCTCCTCAGATGATGGCTTTTGTTTTGGCTGGCTTGAAGAAAAACCAGAAGTCGCTAGCACATTAGCAGACTGGCTTGAGGAGAAACCACTTGCATGAGACACCAGTGGCACTGATTTATGGTTTATGATATTCGAGTGAAGATTTGAAATGGGTCTCTTGCCACTGGGTACATTCTGAGTCTGGGGTTGAGTCTGCAATCCACTGATTTCGTTCTTCCTTTCAGCTGTTCCATTCTCGTGAATTTTAACCCCATCTTTAAGACTAATATCAAGAAACCTATTCTCCCATGGACGAACAGCCATCCATCTCTCTAACCAGTTCCAACCCCAGTTATTTTTATCTGGCTCAAAACCCGCAGAGGCAGCTGGCTTCCTAAGGCCTGCTTGCCACTGAAATGAAACTAAAGTCAAAATTCAATGGTTCAATTAATATATAGGATTGAAAACATAATTAGCAAAATGCCATAACTAACAGATCAATTTTTGTGTATCATCAACACCACATCACTCTTGTTGTTACTTTAATTAAAAATGCCAAGCTAATAAAGCCCAATTAAGTGCAGCTTAATCGATATGAGGAATCTTCCCAATTCCAGCAGCTGCTTCTAAGGTAACATGTTACTTTAATTAAAAATGCTAAGCTAATAAAGCTCAATTATGCAGCTTCATTGAGATGAGGAACCTTCCCAATTTCCAGCAGCTGCTTCTAAGGTAGCAAATAGATGCAAATAGGAGAGTGGGGAGAGGGGGCGGTGCTGTTGGTGGAAATTAACAGTGGATTGACAAACAAAAGTTATCTAAGTGGTTAATAACAGATTAAACATGTAAATTGCAACCTCAGTATATAATGTAATATGGAGATTATTGGGTACCTTGAGGGTATGAAAGCTTGCAGGCATAAGCATAAGCATCAACATTCAATAGAAGCAGAATGGAGAACAAGCAGAGAATGGTCACAGACAAATAGATTTACTAAATGTAAGCATTGCTGACATAATTCCTCATATATCAAATGAAATACAGGAACTAGTTAACATTTTCTCATATTCTTGTACAGAAATAACCTTTATCCTATTGAACAATTCTGCAAGTCAAATTAATATGTAAAGTACAATAGTGCTTACAAGGTCTCTACCATATAAGCTCATTTTCCTATTACTCGAATAACTCACGTTTACATGATCTAGGCTCAAAACAGACAACAAAGTATTGGGAAGGTGCTCATTACCAAAACAATTTAAACAACAAGATCTAAATTTGATATACCTAAAAATAGACTCACATCAGTAGTGACCTAGAGCTTGAGTTATAGTGACCTATAGCTTGAGATATTCTTAGAGTGCATTTTATACGTTCCTTTTCTGAGACTTGACCCATGTGATTTTAAGCATGGATCGTAACACTATATGCTATTAGCGCATTAACCACTGGTGCATTTGCCCCACTGGGAACTACAATGCATCCTAATAAATTTTCATTCAAGCAAAGACATGAACTATATACTATGTGAACAATATGGTAACTCATCCAGAATACCACATCACCTACGGGAAAATATTATTATCTAATTGTATCTGTGTGTAGCTTAATGAGGTCATCATTCATTTGATTGGGAGTTTTTCCATTTTTATAATTGTGGAACATCAAAATAGCTTAAGATAATATATCACAAGGTTTAAAACTTCAATCTGATACCAGTATCCAGAAACCAGTGGTACAGTACCAATAGAGTCCATACAGAGAAAAACAATGTTCGGACTTAGGAGAACAATTAAAGGACTCTTTCAAGTCCGGCATTGGTGGGAACCTTGTGAACTAACCATATGGGTGATGTACCACAGTACCATTGTGCTAGTTTTCTGACAGAGTAGTGTAACATGATCAATACTCTGCAAGTTCTAAGCTCTTTTCGGCAACTTGTCTCATATGGTTATAGGCCTAATTAATCACAAAAAATATGCACATTCGACAAGGTAAAATGTGTTCTTATGTTCAAGAAAAGTCATGTACCCGTTAAAATAACTTTCTGCGGTTGGCAGCTCTCACACCCATGATTTACTTGTAAGATAAAACCTTAAAATGAAACAGGACCATCTCCAAACAAAAGGATAACAAGCACTTCCAATGCAATCTTGTAGCCTTGACATGTCCTGATAGAAACTTAACTGAGGAAGAACACAACATAGAGCTTTTTTAGTTTCAGCCCTTACTATGACTAGAAAATATGGCAATGATGTTAATATTGGGACCATAGTGTACTAAAAAGATCAAATTTGGCGAAATAAAAGGTCAGCAAGGCCAACAAGAGATAGATAACAAAAGACTGGTGAAAGCAAAAAAGGCAGTTTTAAGACCTCTTTGGTTATAGTTGTCTAGCAGAGTGCCACATTTTTTGCATTATCTTTATCCCCTTTAAATGGAAAGAGTAAGTGCAATTCAGCAAAATCAACTAACCTAGTCCTATAAAGGATGAAGCCATATTTGAACATAATTTCCATGATACTCAAAAGCTTGCATTGCCATGGTAAAGATTTAGAATATCAAACTTTTAGACCATAATCCAGATGTCCTCTGCATGGTTATGTTCCCATTAGAGGATACCTGATGAGTGACAGCATATGCCATAGCTCTCTCACGCTTGGCAGCAGCTTCTTGCCTCCTCAACAACTTCGCTTGAATTTCCTCCACAGAGCCAACACTGTCACACCAGCCTTCCTGCACCCGCACCATTAAATTTAAAATTACTCCTAGATTGACTTAACCACAGACATGACAATTCTATTTGATTTAATAAAACAAAAAGGCATAAGCACAAAGTTCCCAGAATTAGGCACATGCTAGACCGATTTATGATTCCATTAGTTCAAGTACAACAAAAGGAGAAACCAAAGAGAACAAGGGAATCTTGGGATAATATTCTAGAGTTAAGCAAGATAGTGTGCCAAAGGGTGCTCCTATACACAACTTCAGAAAAGAACAATATTACTAGGATGATTTTGCTATGCAAGAAAGGCCATAGGGATCAATATTTGTTAATGGCATACATCCCTGATTTTTAAATTTCACCAAAGTGGTGGAACATGTATTAGGTTCAAAATGCAAAATCCGGATGCCAAAACAGCATTTAGTTAATGTACCAACATATAGGACGAAATGGCATGAAACAAGTGTATATGGGTGCACATAAGGTGTATAACCTAGGAAGATTTAAACTTCTTATAACACTAAAATTCTTGTTAGCTGTTTTTGTCAAAATCAACGGCCTAGTGCTTTGCAGTTGGTTGATGCTACTACATGAAATGGCCAACAAGCATAGAGGTTTGCACTTCAGATTTATTCCAAAGTTGAACAATGTAAGTTTCAGAACACAGTGTAACAGAAAGTATAAACACACAAATATGTGGACATATATACATGACTTATGGTAACTGGTATGAACAAATAAGCAGACTATCAAATAGCGGCAAAGATAAATGAACACACACAATAAAACAAAAGAATCATCAAATCAAATTACTTGGGATACAAACATTAGTCCATAGAAATGTGGAACAAAAGTAGGTTTTGCCATTATTCTACTTAGTAGGAAGGTAGTCATAATATATGAGAAGGGAGACATGTAATTTCATCTTATTTAAAGTTTTAAACTGTAGCTGGTGGAAATTTGGCATCTTACCTCTATTTCTCTTGTGCGAGCTTCTTCATGTGATTGTTGTTCCTGAACCGTTTGACCTCCCAATTGACTTTCTAATGCCAAGCGAACTCGCCTGGCTCTTACACGGGCCTGCACCCTTACCAGAGCTTGCATGCAGCGAAGAGTTATTGCAGCTTGTTTTCTCACAGCATGACCCCTAACGAGGGCCTGTAATCTAACTAGTCCTTTGAGAGCCCGTAAAGCCCTTCTAGCCTGAAATGAGAATAAATCTATCTATTAAAAGGCAATACACTATATATTACACATTATAGATTGGAAAAATAAAATGAAAAAGGAGGAAGAAAGATTTTTAGTGCCACCAGCAATTTCTTGATGCCGGTCTGGGAGGCAGTAGCTGTTTTGGTCATTACTCCTATTGTAGAAAATCTTCTTACTTTTAGCAGTGGTCTTTTTATTATACTGCCCTTGGATATACTGAAAGAAACATGTGCTGGATGTTTTCGGAGCAAGTGCTCATCATTGTTGTCAACATTGCCATCATCATAAGTAACAAATGCTTTTCCAAAATATGAGGACAACTATAGAGCCAAAATTAACTGAGAGCGCCACAACATATATATGATAGGACTTTGCAACTGCCACCCCAAGTTGTTAACAAAATTCTAAGCAAGAAAAACTTAATAAAGGACTTATTAAGTTACATATTTGATTAATGTCTAAGCTCATGCAACCAAGGAGCATGTAGCATTTCCCTGGACATGAAATAGAGAAGACAAAAAAGTGTCAATACAAGAAGTAGTGTTCATCTCAAAGGCGCGAAAAAGTCAATGGAACACAATTTCCATGCTACATAAATCTATTATGAAATATTTCTATGGCAATAGTCATATAATTTGATTGTTCACACATCATCAGAATGCAAATGTAAAATCATCATAAGCTAATCGTCATATCAAGTTTCTTGAGAAAAAGGTTATTCAAAGTCAGGATTGTTGTTTCAGCACAGGGAAGTCTTGACACATCACAATATCTTGTCATGCTATGTCAGCTGCTCAGACCAAAAATTGACTGTTTCATTAAATATCTTATTCACATTTTTATACCTTAAATTGTTGTATATTAAACTATCTACCGCAAGAAGTATACTAACAAATAACCCAGTGCAGAAGCTCTGGCCAATGTGGTATCTAGGGAAGTGAGAGGTATACTAAAACATGGTACTTAAAAGGAACTTGTCAAACTACATTTGTAAACTTATCAAACTCAAATGAGCCATTTATATATGCCAAAAAGAAATAGGACTAATACCAGGAATGCTCGAAAAGCAGTTTGAATAACCGTGGCAGCCCACTCCTCTCTCATGTTCTGCTGAGTTTGACTTGTCATTTGTGCGGTAGGAGAGGAAGCAGAATCTGAATTTGACTGTAGATTGGCATCTCCAGTTGATAGAGCCGATCCCAGAGCCAACTCATCTTCTGTTGTAGCAGGATCAAGACCAACATAGTTTTCCTTCTGGCTATTCAACTTGTTGGCAGAGGCACTAGTCTGAAATGATACAAGAGAATGAGGTGCAAAAACAAAAGCAGAGACCATCTTAAAGGTAGTTCAATCAGGAAAAAAAAGAAAGAAAAGCAGTATATTTTGTTACGGGCAATTTCATTCCTCATAATTAAACACTGACTGTGCAAACAAGTCTTGATAACCACATTCAGCTGCATAAACTGCTTCTTGTCATTTAGATCTATTTATATGTCATGTGATATATTAAATATCCATATCAAAAGTTGCTTCCCTCCAATACCCCGACCATCCTTAAATAAAAGTGACATCAAAGAGGCATAAGATGCAGGAACTCGCAAGTAGGGAATACAGATATCTGTATTATCTTATAAGAAGCTTAAAACTCAGCAAAGTATTAACAAGCAAACACGACAGACTTGGCCCAATCTTCCAATCCCTACATGCTTCAGTCAAGCTTGAACCAAGAACAAAAGTATAAGATTGAACCTGATGTCGAGATAAGAAAAAATATCCAGTTATGTTCATTAAAATCATAAATTTAGGATATTATAGCCATGTCAGGAGCCCAGCTCCAAGCACATTTATGCATATCGGAATAAAAACATTTTGGCAAATTCTATACAGTGTGCCCGAGCTGGTTTGCAATTTGGGTTGTCTATTCAATCCATTAACAATCCTGCACCAAGCATGATGCTCCTTGTTCCTGGAACAGTTAAGAAAACATCAGGCACATTTATGATATTATATATATCCTGTAACGACCATAATCATAAATGAGACTGTTTTCTTGGCCTTGATGATATTCTTTCTCAGTTTCTCCTAAAGACATCCAAGCCAGAATTGTTCTCTTTATTTAGACCAAAACATTGAGTTAAGCATATTTATTAAATAATTTTCATATTAAAGATGCCTAGAAAAGGTTTATAATTCAACGTCAGTCAACACAGTCAAAGAGCATGAAACCATAATATTGGAACTAATATTAAGACAATGCATGTAAAAAGGTCAACCCACATATTTATCATTTTCTGGATGTTGCAATTTCTCATGTTTCCTTATTCCAACCAACGATCTAAGCCATTTTGCAGATATACCCATGATATTCATCAGTTCAACTTTAGATGAATATGGCCTGCAATAGAAAAGACAACAAAGTTAGGATTTAACCAACGGTGGTCATTCTTCTTTGCCAAGGCAGAAGAAGGATATGTGAGAAGACTTATATCAAGTCACAGAATCTTATGATATTATATGCCTACATAATATGAAAGTTCAGAGTAGACAAAGTGTAAAGGTATTAAAGGAACTTCATAATTGCAAAAGCTTGGAAAATAAAGAAAAGTTCAAATTATCTATGACCTGGAAGCTTCAAGACAAGAACAAAAAAGAACTTGCATCATTGACTCTTCCATTATATATGAGTCACATGTTTAAAGTATTTGAACTTAGTTAAAGATAATTAAGGAGGTTGCATAAGAAGCAGCTCAGCTAATTCTCTCCCTCCTTAAGTTATACATAGACACCCTAGAAAAAGACTATAAAAGGTCAATATATAAGTTATACATATGACAATAAAACTAAGAAATAAGTTGTACATGTTTTTCTATGACATAAAAAGTGTTCTCTAACTTCTTTTTACCTTGTATCATTCTTTCTCTATTGGTTTACCTGTCTACTTTTCTATTCTACTCATCTTCTTCATCTGATGATTTGCCCTTTAGGGCATCATTTAGGGCTATGCCCCTTTCCTAAGCAAGCAACAAAAGATTGGCAATAGGGAAACTAGAAACTTGCTCCGGATGATATAAAAGGACATAATATGATGATGCTTAATCTACTTTTGCGTCGTCCATGATTCTATAAAATGAAAAATAATGGAAGAAATTATGTTCATTCTAGGACAAAGACATTTGCCATGATGATTTCCTCTCTCTTATTCAAAGTTTTGAGAATTATTTTGGTTTTGAGGAACAACTGTTATTAAGTCCTCATATCCAGGACACAATCTTGATATAGAAGAGATAAACTTCAATTCAGATAACAATGGAGAAAGTTCAGTAATCACAAGAGAAACAGATATACTATGGTCAAATCATCAAGGGGAGCATTTTATTTAAAAATTATCCTTCATCTGGGGCTTGGTAATGAACCCAATAACACAAAGAGCAACTCATAGCCCAATCTAAAATTTTGGGTATGGACTCTCATTTTGCATCATTAACATTGTCAGAATGCGTTGGTCCAAGATCAACGCCTGATAATGCATAAAGCAATAATCAACTCAAATCTGACATGAAATGTTGGCTAAGAATTTCAGGTTGGATTCATAAGCTTATGCAGAATCCAATCTGATTTCGTCTGTACTTTCATCCCTTGTCTCAACTTAACTTGAATTGCATTCATCTAACAAGCAATTGCCAGATACGATAATTCAATGACTGCAAAACTCGAGGAACAAGTGCTCCAGATGTGGCATGCACCTAGAATGCAGTATAGGGTGGGGATTGGGTTGATACATTTGGACGCATGTCACGTATGACTGGCTTAAGTCGTGCACATCATAAGCAGCATTTCTATTTTCCAAAAGCATAGTAGTCTATTTTATATGGGATTGATATTATTATCTTGCCAGTCATAAGATCCTTGTCTATTGAATAAATAACAACTGATTTATGGATAGGTAGAGACTAAGGAAGGTTCAATTAAAGAAGTAAGCTTTAAATGCACAATATACAAGTCAACCATTTCTTGATGAACCCCACTCTACAAAAGACAATATCTGGGTAGTTAAACTAAGAAGAATCTAAGTAATTACAGAAGGCAAGTTGCTCACAAAGAAAAACCTGAAGCACGACAAAATTACCAGACAAGCTCATTCTACCTGGGCCATGCAAATAATTTTCAGCAAGGATGCGGAAGTGAAGATGAAGCCATCATCAGATCCCAGTCAGGTCTAATGTGTGGGATACAAATAAGAAAAACGGTGGAAGCAACATCATAATGGATAACACAATTGACAATATATTACATGATCGGATAGTAGGTAAACAAACACTCTCTTAAATGCCAGTAAAAGAATCAAATCTACGTCAATGTACTGGTGTTTGTCCACCTAAATGAATTGAGAAAACGCAACACATTGCAGTTCGATCACATAAAAGGGAAGAGACATATTGTAGAATGAGCTCTGAAGGGATTTCGTACTCCAAATATAGCAAGATCGACTGAAACGCAATCAAATCCGCAACGACCATTTCACTTCAAAGAAATCAAAATTCGAATTTTTTTAGCTCAAAAATGGCACCGTTTGAGAAAATGCAACAGACTGCAGTTGGCTTGCATCAAGAGAAAAGACATTCTGGCAAAATCAACTCAGAAGCATTCCAAGCAGCACCAGCCATTTCACTCCAAAGCTAGCAAAACCCGATTTTTAGCTCAAAACTGACACCACAAGCCGCTCATCTCACAGAGGACCAACAACAAATCAAATACGGTGCATGAAAAATCGCAACTTGACAACAAAGAAGAACAAAAATGGAGGAACACGAATACGAAAAAAAAAAAGACTCGGATTCAACTAGAGCACCCCACAAACGGGCGGCATCGAGAAGAAGGGGTTCGACCAAGAGCTCAGACCCCATGTACGGATCAACACAAAACTCAGCGAGGGCGACGGAGGGAATTAAACAAGGGATTCGAAACCGGAGCTCACCTCAGACTTTGAGATCGAGGGGGGCGTACACGTCCATCTCTCGTCACTGTTACGAGCCTTTTCTTCTTCCCTCCTTTTTGCATTCTTGGCTGCCAACTTGTCCTGTGTCCCCCCTCTCTCGGCTCACGCCTTTTCCCTGCCCTTTTCCTGCTCTCTTCCAAAGCCGGAAGTTGCAGGTGCACTTTTCATCAGTCGGCCGATCAAAAGGCCAAAAGCAACCACTTTTTGTTTCCTCCTCTATTTACATTAAAATTTTATAATTAGCCTTGAAAATTGTATAAAATTATATTTTTCAATATAAAACCAGGATTACGATTAAGGTGCATTGTTCAGGCAATCAAGTATCCAAGTGAAATCCATTATGTTTAATCGAAGTATAGAGTTATAAATACATTTGATAGGGAGGGAAAGTACCAGCTCCACCAATTCATCATTTCACCTGCCTGAGTAGGCCACCTAAGCAAAGGTACGAGGGGCTGCCGCCTAAGCAAAGGTACGAGGGGCTCCCACCAACCAATCGTGAACGGGAAATCAGCCTACGATACGTACCTATCTCAGGTTTCTAAAGAGAACTACAAGAACCACTCCTCACTAACACGAAGAAAGAGTCATGCAGCCGCTTTATAGCGACAAGTGATTTCAATAGGCGCTCAGGCCTCGCCCGAGCACCTCACTTCAAAGAGGTGTCGCCTGGGCGCTCGCCCGAGTACAGGCGCTTTGGGTGAGCGCCTGGGTTAAACCAGGCGACCGAACCAGATTTTAGGTCTGATTGGTCTTTGGTGCTTTAGTTGATTCAATCGAACCAACTAAATCACTGATATCAGGCTCTCTCTCGCGATTTCCTCGACTTTCCCAACCCTAACACTCACGATTTTGTCGTCGAGATTTCTTCTCCATTGTTGCTGCTCTCTACTGTCGCTGTCATCGTTGTTGCTTGCCGCTACTGTCGCTACTTGCCGCTGTCACAATTGCTACTCGTCAACTGCTCATCGCTGCCACAATCGCTGCTCGTCACCACTGTCGTCACTCCCGTTGTCACTCGCCGCTCCCGCTCTAACTACGATTGTCGTCTACTACTGTTGTCATTGCCTCAGTAGCCTCGGTCTTCTCACACTCTTCTCACTATACTATTAACAGTATATTAACAATATACTGCTAACTATATACTAATAATAGTATTTTTATTTTATTAGATTAATAATATATTTTTTTTTAGTTTAATACTATTAATTCTTATTTATTTAATAGTATATTTTTAATTTAAAAAAATACTATTATGATTTTTTATTATGATTTTGTACCTACTTTTCTTAATTTAATAGTATTTTTATTTAAATACTTATATTTATTAATTATATTATATATTTTTATATTTTAGCATCTCGCTTCGCTCGTGGCATAGTTCGCCTTTGGTACTTGGCGCCTTTTGGACCTTGGTATAGAGCGTTTTTGGACCTTGACGCCTTTTGGTACTTAGCGCTTTTTAAATCACTGCTAGTGGCATAGTTCGCCTTCCTCACACCTTTCCTTTTGGATGACCAAAGGAGAGATCATTCTCTACCTAACTCAAAGCGATAGAGAATGTCATCCCAATGGCCCAATGTCGACTTTGACCTTGGGACAATGCATCGATAAGCCACCTCCATTAACATCACATGATGAGTAGTGTATTGGGGACAATCACTTATCTCCATTCTCGTCGTTAGATGCTTATGTATAAAAATCAAGCCTCATACCAAACAGAGGCAAGCGAGCAAACATTACACTCTCCTTAATACAGTTAACTCACTCATTCCCCATCTCCTTAACTTAAACATCGAAGAGGTCGTATCGAGACCTCCCCCAGGCATCGACTTGTCGTGCAGGATCCCCAATGCAATTGAGGAAGAGTTAGGAGACGACTTCCTCACGAGCAAGATGGTCCATGTTCCCATATCAGTTTGCTCCCTCCATAGGTAGGAAGCTCTCCACGCTGGCTATCTACGTCGACTCCTCATGTCAACTCCCTATCGACCAACTCTCCATGCTAACTCTTTACGTCGACTCCCCATGCCAGCTCTCTATGCTAGCTCCTCACGCTAATTCTCTATGTCGGTTGCTCATGCCAGCTCCCGACCAACCATCTCTCCATAGCAGCTTTTTATGCCCACACCTCACACCAACTCTCCATAATAATTTTTCACGTCAACTCTCGATGAAGGACCTGCACTTTTAACGTTGAACCAAGTCGAACTGACTCATCAATTAACGATCTCAGTGTAACAATAATATTAAGCTAATTTTTAGAACTTAATTTTTTAGAATAAACGATGACTCAACTCCGGCATTATATAGTGTTGCGAGATAACTCTCTAATAAATAATGAATTAAGTAAAATAGCCTCGTAACTTCTAAAAATAAATCTTCATACAAAAAGGTCATAGTCATCATGCTCGGATTGATGACACACCCCAAAGGTCAAAAAAATAATGATTTAATGAAAAAGGAGCGAAACTTGATTATAATGGTCATAAGATAGTTAAATTTCTTATCATGATACTATAACAATTTAGGATATTACCATTAGTAATCTCCTTATTATTTACAATCTCATGTTAAAAAAATTAAATATTTTTTATGTTGTTTTTATAAATAAATACATACTCTTAATTTATAATTTAATTTTAATATAAATCTTTTTATTCTTTATCTATATTTTTTTTCTCGTCCTCTCAATTGAAGATGATGTAAAATAACAAAAGAAAAAGACGGATAATAAAATAAGATGAACTAAAAATTAAAGAGAAGGATATAAAAAATAAATTTTGATATTTATTATGATAATTTTTTTTTAAATTATGTATATTTTATAATGAGTCAGAAAATACTATAGTTGCATTAACCTAAAAGATATTATTGGCAGTTGGAAGAGCCAATAATAATAGAGTGTGCATGCGGATTGTGACAAAGGAAAAAAAAAAAGAAAAAAATGAGGGTGAAAATAAAATTAAAATATATTTGGATAGTAAATATTTTTTTATTATTTTTTTAAAAAATATGAATAATAAAAAGGATTATGAATGGTATGAATAGAATCCAAATAATAAGTTCAAATACCTATCACCCAATTAAGATAATTTATTGGAAGAAATAAAATTACCTCAACTTCGAGTCCTATGCACGTCGTGTAATAGTTCACTCGAGGGAATAAAATTAAATGGCATTCAACCACTCATCTTGCACATACGGCACATGTGATTGGAGGATGAGTAGCATCATAAGCAAACGAGGTTTGTGATGTTGTAAACGAAAAAAAAATATATTACAATAGCGAAAGCAATAACACAAGCATTGCATACGAATGACTCGCTTAGTTATGGACTGCTACTTAGGGTCGATACGCGCACACGAGAGCCTACGCCACCCCCTCACATGATCGTTAATCGGAGTGCGATCACTGAGAAAGTTGCACAAGTTAACCACCGATATGCGATGACCAAGCCCACCCTCTTGGTTCTCCCCTCGGTCATATCATCGGTCTCTAATGACTTGTTGTCTCAGTCATGATTTCAAAAGGGCTCGCATGCATAATCACATGGAACATTAATCCTAGACGGCGTGACGCAACTCTCCTCTCCAACCACCCAACACCGAGCCCCATCTCATGTTTGTTTCAAACGTGCTCTTACCCTAATAGATGATGCGTCCCCAGCCATCCTTCCCTGATGCAATCGTCAAGAAGACGTGTTTACTAGTCTCGATATAAATGAGCCCCTGATAATACGAGGGGCTCCAGGGATAATGAGCAGTTGACCGCCCTCCATTGGCTAATCAGATATAAATACTAGTCCTCGAAACTAGATGGGGCAAGCAAGCTCAATATAAATTCTTCTGAGTTCTATAAAACCCTATCCACCTATTCTACTGGCTTAATGATCAGAGGGGTCGGGTCAAGATATTCGTCTCGACACCGACCGTGCATGATCTTAATGCATATAAGGGGCACATTGAGACGACGCTGAGCGCTTCCAAACAAAGCTAAGGCGCTTCTCGAGACAACCATTGAGCTTCCGTCGGTAAATAAGCTACACCTCGAGATGACCATGAATCGATCACTGTAAACCAGCAACATCTCGAGAGTTCACCTCCCACCTTAGCTTTATGCTCGGATCATATCCATGTGACCTACGTGGATTTTTTGGACGGCTCCATATATTCGAGATAGAATGAGGCTATATTGACTCTTCGGTCAACAACAGTAAAACAATAACATATCCAATATTTGCGTTAGAAGGAACTAAAAAGCTAAAAAGAAAAAAAAAACATTCATATGTTCATGTTCTCACATATTTTTGAGACAGTGACAAATAATAATCGGAGGAAGGACAATTGAGATTGCAGAGGAATGGCACGGTATCATCAACACCAATAAAGTGACGATAAATCAATCCCGACATGCCGCATGCCATCCACGAAATAATAGATGAAACATCCAATCATGATGCTACGTTTGTCATTAAAGCAAATTGACATTAGTTAGTCCAATCGGAGGATGCCAACCCAATAGAGTAATTGAGGGAAAAGATATTGATGATTAATTAAGGGCATCCCAACTCATTCTTTGGCACCAACCAACTATCTCATAATAATTTTGAATTAGTCTTGCAATAAACACTAATTAAGATATTTATAATAAACGCCAATTACATCAGGCGTAGCATTGATTTATTTTCTTTGTTCTTCACAATGATAACAAATAGTGGGTGAACATCAACACATGTTACAATCATTAAATGCATATTATAATAAATAAATTAAAATAATTATTTTTTGATAACTTAAAAGAAAACAATATTATTCACTATATATATATTAAAATTATTTATTTTTTGATTATTTTTAGGAAAACGATTCTAATAGCACTCAACTTGTTTGCCTAATATATAAAATATTTTTTTTTTATTTTTATGTATCTTTCCATAAAACGAATGTGTTTTTAATCATATAAAAAATTATAATATAATATTTTTTATAGAATTTTATAAAATTATTATGTTTATAATATTTTTACAATGCGCTGTAGTATTTTTAACAACAATAGAAAAACACTATAACATAATAAAAATACTATAATATATACATTTATATATTAATAATGATTTAAGGACACAGATAACACTAATTATAATGTTGGCTCAGAACATCCACATAAATTAACTCAAATGAAAAGAAAAACAAATAGATGCCTCCTTATATTTCGATAACATTTACATTTTATTTAACTTGGTAAATTTGAAAAACACTTTCCTTGACTTTTGCTATATTTCGATAACACTTCCAAGAAAACACTTCGAAGGGAAAAACACTTCAAGAAAATAAACACTTCAAGAAAATAAACACTTCTTTGCCTTGGCTTTTGCTTCCATTCCCATTGTGGCATGCAAAAAGGTCCACGGAAAACAACGAGAACTCCCCATCTCGACCGCCCATCTTCGATCTGACGATCCAGATTGCCTCATGGAGCAATTCGGGGAATCAGCTTCTAGAGCCTTCTTCCAGCCCACCCACCCCACCTTTTGCGTTTTCCGCCTCTTATTTCCTCCTCCCTCCCTCCCTCGATCGTCATCTCCATTCAGCAGATCGGGTTGCGTCGTTCTGGAACCGATTCACGCTTGGGCAACACTGAGGTACCGATCTCGCGGTTCCGCTTGCGATCTCGGATAGATTGACTGACTAGGGTTTCGCCAAAAAGATGTTCGGGAGGGCGCCCAAGAAGAGCGACAACACGCGGTACTATGAGATCCTCGGAGTGTCGAAGAACGCGTCGCAGGAGGATCTGAAAAAGGCGTATCGCAAGGCCGCCATCAAGAACCACCCCGATAAGGGCGGCGACCCCGAAAAGGTGAGGAAATCCTTGCTTGTCGGCATCTTGTTTCGTTGATCTGTCGTTGAACAGGTGAAATTAATGTCCCGATCAACGATTTGTGTTAGGAAGACCGTCTTCCGTCGTTTATCTTTAGCTTTTGGATGCATCTTTAGCGTTTGCTCATTGTTTTACCTACTTTTGCCATTAGGTAGACTTTTCTTCGGTCAGTTGGTATCTTGTGGTAGAAAGGTCAGTTTTTTTGTCTTTATGTACTGATCTTTCAGCACTTGCTTATACATGTTTCTTTGGTGTGTTTGCTGGTTTATGATCAGTGTGCTTTTGACTTGGATCTGATTCTGAAAGTATATGGTAGATCATACTTAATGGTGTATATACCCGAAAATTGAGTGGAAATATAGATCATACTTAGTGGTGTATAGATCCGAAAATTGAGTGTAAATCTATCTCTTTTGGCAATAATATGCACTGTAATACTTGTGTATGTGGAGAGCCGGGAAAATAGCTAAAAATCTCTATTCAAATGTTTGAAGTCATCAAAACTTTTTTCTCTCAATTTTAGGGATGAGATTGGTTCTAGATGATGTGGAGAGTTGAGATTGTTTGCTTGGTTGAAATGTTCTTAGTTTAACTCATTGATGTCTTATTATATGTTGCCTATTTTTTGTTAAGATGTATGAAAGGTTTGTGATATAATTTGTTAGGCAATCATGAATCATGATCTATTTCTCTTGTCTTGGAGATGGTTATATAACAAAAATGTTATGGTTTCCCTTTACAGTTCAAGGAATTGGCCCAGGCTTATGAGGTTCTAAGCGACCCTGAGAAGCGTGAAATCTATGATCAGTATGGGGAGGATGCCCTCAAGGAGGGAATGGGCAGCGGTGGAGGTGGCCACAACCCGTTTGATATCTTTGAGTCATTCTTCGGTGGAAGCACCTTTGGAGGTAAAGCTGTGCACTCTAGTGTGTGTTTTCCAACTGTTAACATAATATTGTGGCACCAGGATTAGCATAATGATTTAAAATTATCAGTTCCTCACTTCCTCCTAAGTAGTAGTGTTACCTGCCATGGACAGGAGGTGGAAGCAGTCGGGGACGAAGGCAAAGGAGGGGGGAGGACGTGATCCATCCTCTTAAGGTGTCTTTAGAGGATCTGTACAATGGGACTTCAAAGAAACTCTCTCTTTCACGGAATGTTATCTGCCAAAAGTGCAAGGGGTGTGTTGTCTGCCTCTGTTGGTATGTTGTTTATGCGCTGAATGTTCCGTAATCTCTCAATACTTGTACAGGAAGGGTTCTAAGTCCGGTGCTTCAATGAAGTGCTCTGGTTGTCAAGGTTCGGGCATGAAGGTCACAATTCGTCAGCTAGGGCCTGGCATGATCCAGCAAATGCAGCACCCTTGCAATGAGTGCAAGGGGACAGGGGAGATGATTAATGACAAAGATCGCTGCCCACAATGTAAAGGTGAGAAGGTTGTTCAGGAGAAGAAAGTGCTGGAGGTTATAGTTGAGAAAGGAATGCAGAATGGCCAGAAGATTTCGTTCCCTGGAGAGGCAGATGAGGCGGTATGTTATGGAAAACACTAATCCATAAGAACTAAGTTGGGGTACACATAATTATGTCTAGTTTCTTGTTGTTCTTGATGTACTAACCTAGATTGTGTGCTCGTGTGTTGCAGCCTGATACGGCTACTGGAGATATTGTGTTTGTACTGCAACAGAAGGATCATCCAAAGTACAAGAGAAAGGGAGATGATATCTTTTACGAGCACACATTATCCCTTACTGAAGCTCTCTGTGGCTTCCAGTTTGTTTTGACCCATTTAGATAACAGGCAACTACTCATCAAGTTGAACCCTGGTGAAGTTGTGAAGCCCGGTATGAAACTTAAATTAGCCTGTTCAGAAATTTAATATTCTCAGTCCAGGCTTTAAATCAATGACATATTGCTATCGATGTAGATCAATTCAAGGCAATAAATGACGAGGGCATGCCAATGTACCAGAGGCCCTTCATGAGGGGGAAGCTCTACATCCACTTTACGGTGGACTTCCCGGATTCACTGACACCTGATCAGTGCAAAGCTCTTGAGGCTGTGCTTCCTCCAAAACCTGCATCTCAGATGACCGACATGGAGCTGGATGAGTGCGAGGAAACAACAGTACATGATGTTAACATGGAGGAGGAGATGCGGAGGAAGCAAGCTCAGGCTCAGGAGGCATATGAGGAGGATGATGATGATGTCCATGGAGGTGCCCAGAGAGTGCAGTGCGCTCAGCAATAAGCATAACTAATTGACCTTGGTTTGCATTAGGTTACTACTTACGAATTACTCTCAATAACCATCTTCACCATGGTACTCATGGAGCAAAACTCTGATTTGCAACTGCAGGCCATTCACAGCCTTTGCATGCGCATCCTTTTGACTTCCGAATGCTCACTGATATCATCCAGGATTGCATCTTTCCTTTAGTCATATGTTTTCCGATTGATATTGTTTGATCTTTCAAGAAAAAAATTAGAAATTATCGAATATAGTTGTAGTTCTTATGTGTTACTAATGCGTTTTCTATGTGTGGGTAAATTTGCTATTTGCTTACATGAAACAATTCATTATTGTTATTGTCTTCTCTATCAACAAAGAAGGCAAAGAAAATAAACAACTTGAGAATTTCTTGTATAACATTTTAATTTTAGAAAATTCTCTTAGAATGTCCTTGGTCCCATGAAAGGATTGTTTTACCTTTACCTTCGGTGGACTTATCATTGTCTCTTATCTTGCATCGTTGTGGGAGTTTAAGTTCGCCCATCAATTATTTTATATCTAGATTTAAACAATTACGATAATTTAACATATTATTAAGCCACATAAGTAAATGTTGTCCCACCTCATAATGGGCCCACACATTATTTAGCAAGTGGTTGAGTTATGTTAGTGGACGTTGTGCTACTTGGGCAGGCGATTAAGCCACATCAGCAAATGTTGTCCCACCATGGCAATTTGTTAAGCCACATTAGCGAGTGTCATCTTCTTGTAGTCGCAGGTGGTTTTGAGTGGTTAAAAGTAGTTGAGGTGGCATAATGTCGATTGATATGGCTTAAGAAACTACCAAGGTGACACAATGTTTGTTCATGTGGTACAACAATAGCTAACGTGGCTCAACCACCTTGTCACGATGGCATAATATTTATTGATGTGACTTAACAATATGTTAAACTATTATAACTGTCATCTCCTTTCGTGAATGCATGTCGCAATTTGTGTTTGAGGTGGAGGTGCCCACGTGTCAATCTTTTTGGATGGTTCAAGTTGTCCCTTATCAATCATTTCCTAGAAATGGTAAAATCTATAAGACAAAAATAATAAATCTATAAAAAAACTTTTTAACATTCATATAATAAATACATTTAAAGATTAAAAAGTAATTAATACTTAGGTCTCTAGTGAGACATTAGAATTGTTTTATATATTATTATACAAGTGATAGGTCTTGAGTTCAAAGTTTATGCAGACCATTATACGTTATTTAATTTAAGTTAATTATTTTATTTTTTAAATATTAAGTAATTAGGAATTTTACGTAATGAATTTTCCCTTATTTAGCTAATATGCTAAGTAATTAAGAATCGCACAACATCGAAGCCCGGGGGGGTGCATCCACCGCGCCATCTTACTGAGGCCCGGAGGACTCTGCCGCATCCACCACGCCACCAGTCTCGCAGGCGCCGCCTCCATCGCCCTCCTCGCTTTCCTCCCACAACCGTCTCTTCCCCTGCATTCCAGTGCTTCCGTCCGAGAACTCCGCGATCCTGTAGAGGTTCGATGGATTCCACGACCACGTCGCCCCCGGGTGTCGCCGTTCGAGACCCGGAGTCGCTGGAGAAGAGGAAGACCGCAATTCGGAGCGCCGGCCCGACTAAACTCCAGGCGAGAAGCCTGATCGTTTGTCCTCTATTCTCCCTTGTTAATGCAATCTCATTGTTTGATCTATTGCCCATTACTTGTAACTTTTAGGTGATTGCCGATTTTGACGGCACGCTCACGAGGTATTGGATTGATGGCCGCCGTGGGCAGAGTCGGTTGCATGGCTCCCTTCCTCTGATTTAGTACGTGGACATGGTGTCGGTTCTGATTAGGTTTTCCTGGCTTTTGTTGTGGTTAGCTAGCAATGGATTGCTACAGCAGGGGAACGCGGAGTATGATGCCAAGAGGCAGGCGCTGTATGAATACTATCATCCCTTGGAGATCTCGCCAACCATTCCCATCAAGGAGAAAACGAAACTGATGGAAGAATGGTCTGTGGATGTCCTTGCTTCCGAAAATTTCTTGTTTGGTCACATCTTGTTAATATGGTGTTGGCCTACATTGGGAGCTTGAAATGCAGTTATCATTGGTTGATAATTTCTTTAGCTTATTTTTTTCTAGACTATCTGTTTTCTATTGTAGATGCCTCAGAATGTCTTTGGTTTACAATGTTGGCGATGATTGATTCTTTGTCTGTGCAGACTCACATTTTTTGGTCGTAAATGTACCAAGGGCAAGTCTTTTCATATTGGTTAGCAGCTATTACCCTTAGATATTCTTATTCATTAGTCTGAAACATAGTCGTGAAACATAGTTTGTTATCCTTGCTCAATGAAAGCAAGCACATGAATCTTAATATCCTAACTACAAATTTGAAAACAAGTATGATTAGGTCAAAACTAACAAAAGCACATGAAATTCATCATGGACTTTACATATGCAAGTAAAACATAATGGCAACAAATCATGGTAGTCAAGTTGGTGATACTTTAGCAGATTGACTATTTTGTTTATACCATGAAAGCTTAGTCTTAAGGGGAGCAAATTTTAATTCATGAGTTCTTTGGTTTGTGTTTTCCCAAAATTTTAAACCATGATTGTCTGGCTTTCATGAAGCATGCCAATATTTTGGATTCCTAGTAAAAGGGGTATCACATCCATATGTGAACTCCAAGCTCGTAAGAAAGAACTTGGGACCCTAAACTTATGACTTTTATGATAAAGCCTTGACTTTGCAATAACTGTTACGAGTTCCCATATCGTAGGAACCAAACCTGCCAGAACTAATTAGTTAAGCAACTTTTTACTGTTTCAGGTTGGTATATTTATTCAGTTTCAGAAAGGGATCATGCAAGTATCCAGAAGCACCAACGAGTCTGACATACATGGATTTGACTTGAAGATTCTAAATTGACGGATCATCATAATACATGTCTTATTGGCCAAGCATTTCATAAATCATACTCTAGCAGGATCACATCGATTCATTAATTGATTAATCTATAGGTTGTAGGTATGCCAAGTCTGAAGGTGAAAAAAAGTTATGTTAAGATGAAAGTACTGGGACAAAGATGGTAGCTTGAGGAAAGCCTCCATCTTGACCTACCAGCATGTTAGCCAGGAGCTGAAATCATGCATGCTAAGCCCCCAAAAGAAAGCAAACAGCAGGTGCACTTCTGGGGTGGATGGTGCTCATATAATAACTAATGTCATAGCCCACACAGGCCATCCTAAACACATAATGCACCACTTATTATAATGACTTTGTTTCCATTTCTAACCTGATAGTTCATACTTGATACTAGGAAGAAAGTTTTTATGGATTACCGGACTTGCAAGTTTAATTTAGTAATGATGGAAAAACCATTACTTAGTCCATCTTTGGCCACTTCAATTATGTGGATCTGGTGTTTATTAAATTTCTTAAGTACTAAGAAAACATACTGAAAAGTCATAAATTTATTATTTGCTTCTATGCAGACAAATTCCTGCCATGTGGTGTACCTTTAACTGTATTACTTATTTACTCATTTTTAATTAACAATTAACATTTGAGTTGGTTAAGTGCACAGGCACCTAAGATTTCATATCCTGCAACTTTGAAACTTGATGTTCTTTGAACCTGCAGGTGGGAGAAGACACATGGTCTTCTTATCGAGGGAGGCCTTTCCTTTGATGCAATAAAGAAATCTGTCTCTGAGGCTACAATTGCTTTTAGAGATGGCGTTGTTGAGCTGTTTGAGTTATTGGAGGTATGGAGTTTGTATATGACCTTTGGGATATGTCAATTTACCTAATTAGTATTAAACAAGTTTTTTTTGGAGCTTGTCATTGTTTATGATTCATTTTTCCATATCCTGATTGCTAGGAGATGAGGAGAGAGATAGTATGGATAACTTTGTAGTGGTGAGGTCAGAATTAAATGGTAAAGCATTTTATTCATGAAATATAAAATAAATTTATAGTATGTTAGAACTTTAGTTCTATAAAAATCACTTGCAATTATTGGTTATTCAGAAAATATATAATGAAAATTTTAAGGTTGCTTTAGAAGAGGAATACTGATTGGACCAACCTATATAAATCAGTTATTTATTTATAATGACAATTCAGGAAATACATTGATCCTACCTATTTGTTGGTACTGGTTGGTATTTATTTATTTATTTTAATGATATCAAGCTATATAGATAGGTTGCACCTGGTTTATCAGTATCTTAGCGGTCTTGGAATGGCAAGTTAAAGCATCATAAGCTGGTAGTTTTGATGATTTAAGCAATAAACACTTTTCGGTAAGCACGACATGCATATACTTCCACTAAGTAATATGATATTATGATCAATATTGATTCTCATATGATGTCACTATAAGATCACCCTGTTAATAACTCCATATACAGGACCACTTATAGATGGCATGAATAGAATCTGAGACTATTTCTTAAAGAAGATATAGATAAGAAAATAATTTGCTTGACAAATTAGAAAGGTTTTTTAACTGGTGCTTGGAAGAAAGTTTCTTCATAATCATCTTTTCATTTATTTGATCCTCAATTCTAGGTTTTTATGTGGTCACTGCTTCTATCAGCCTTTCCTTCCCATGAAGACTTATATCTAAGTTAGTTACCATAGACTTCAACTTAATAAAGGGCATTAGTTTTAATGGGTATGAAATAAATAGTACTACTATTTGAACTAGTCATCACGATTAGGAGCTGGCAGAAACTATTGTGTTTAATATAGGTCCAGCTAAAGGATATTTTCTATTGTCTAGGCACCTTGCCAAGGGCAGCATAGAATATTTGGAAGATTACAAACCAATTTTACAAATATTTGGACTGTTCTCTAAAAGTTAGCTGTGTTGGTGCTTAAAGATTACAATTTGATCATTCATATTACCTCACCACTATTTTTTTCAAGTAGTAGATTGTTATCAATGTGTATTTTTTTGTTATTCATATTAAATAGTGACATGTGGCATGCATATTTCCATATTCCAATATACATGTTTATGCGTTATGCAATAGATATTGGCAGCAGAGTAGCTTGCTTAAATATGTTATTTAAGAATAGCCATTACACCAGACACTAATGCCAGCCAGCTTTCTTTATTTGTAATCACTCACAACACGTGAAGTATCCTGTATCTGAAAGCTAGCATTCGACTTATTTTATCCTTTCAAATGGTTGCTTGTTAAGAAATTGGTTATGATCTTGTTGAAGATCAAATTTGTCAAATGGCCATATGCACCTAGA